ACAAAGCCTTCCTCCACAAAAATGACAAGTTTAGGGAGGTGAACCCTTATCATCTACAGACAGTTAGGACCAGGTGAACAACTGCACTGTCCCCATGGAAGTATTCCTGCATCTGCAGTAATCACCTGCAAACTTTGGGCCGTGACACAAAATTATGCTCTCCCACTGAAGGCACCAAGTGCATCCAACTTCTGTGGACTTTACTAGAGAAAAGTGAGAAATGACATATTCAGAAAATACTGTAAGCGTTAATTTTCCACCTGACCTCTATTTTAGAGCCTCCGAGACCTGAGACACTACAAGCACTGAGTAATTTCTTAAATTTTGATTTGAAAAAGAAAGAAATTTGGCTTTAAATATGCAAGTTCCTGTAATGTACCCACATCACTGTATTACTGCAACATTCAGGTGTGATCATTTTAAGGGCCTCATTCCTATCAGCAGGGTATTAAGTAGGGTTATTCACACCTGATCTTTTTATTATTTAACAATGGAATTACACTAGCACCATCAACAGGGACGTATCTACTTCATGCAGTCTGTTCTAACGAGCAATATGGTCCAGCTGACTTCTACTTTTAAGGTTGGCCATTTGCTTTGGTCTCCAAGCATTACACAACTGAACCTGCATGAAGTTGGCACTGGTCTCTTCCGGAGATGAGCACTCAAGACATCAAGAATTTGGCACGTGGATCTCATGTTGGATGGACACCCTCTCCCTGTACTTTCTGCAAGATCAGCTAATCGATACACACAAGTGACAATAGCAAACGAATGACAGGCCACACGTTGTTAGCTCCCAGGAGCAATGCTTTTTAGGGCCATTATTGATTTCTTTTTTTTAAATCAGACTAGGAGAAAGCCTTCATTCCCCAAGTGCTTCCCCTGAGGGGAGCTGGCTCTGGAGTCTTGCATTTGTTCCCAGATGAGGATTTCTTTTGCAGAGGAAGGACGTGCTCCCCTACTCGGCATCTGCAGAAATGTAGCATCCCACGTTTCAAACACGAGCAACAAAGAGTGCATTTCTGAACTAATGATCTAATGTAGATCTGGGTTAAACTGTACAGATGAACATGAAAAGAACAATGAGAACTGCTCATGAATTAGTTCAAGCTATTTGCGTCATATTGGTAACTCACCAAGTTCTTATCCACCTGTGCTCTGTTACACTTGTTTTCTTATGATAATATGCTCTTCTCTGTTGTTTGTGTACGTTTTCATCGTGCTGCTATAGATAAGCTTTTGTTTACAAGTTTTGTTCATAAATTGATGTATTTTTCTCCAGATAATGTTAAATCACATGAAACAATACCCTATAAATACATTTAATTCCACGAGGAGTTTTTTTTATGTTTTCAAATTGAGGAATGCTTTCATAATCACAGATTTAGGACAGCATATTGCTTTTTCCTGGGAGGCAGAAGGATATTATTTTGAAAGATAACACATTTTAACCAGTTTGCTATTTGTAGTCAAACATCAATTTGCAGCTATCACAACCTCACCCATTTCAGCTACACTGTAGTTATTTTCTTCACCAGAAAAGTTGATGTGACTTTTTTTTAGTACAGCTGCAAAAGCATTTATAATGGATAAAATAACCTGGATGGGAAATGTATGAATAAATAATATTTTCATGCAAAAAGCAATCTTAAGTGTTTGCAAGAAAAATCATTTAATTACATGTACCATTAAGATGGCTCTTTTGTACCAGCTATGTGGCAACTCATTAACAGAGCTCTTCACCAACAAGACAAATTAATGTTGCTTATGAAAGCTTCTGATTAAGAGAGAAATGGAAAGTTATTAATACTTTGTTGCCACTCGAGATATCTCATAAAAATGATTTAAGTAAAGCACGTAAACATCCAGGCATTACAGTAATCTTCAGCCTCTCAGTTCTGCATGAATTTCGGATTACTTCGGTTTTTGTTGAACTTGTCACTTCTAGTATTAATTTGGAACACAGTCAACCTTCTCATACCACATCTATCAACCATCTTAGGGGAATAAAGCCACAAAGGACTTTGCAGTGGTTCCTTCCCTCTGCTGTGCTCACATCGTCTTTGAAGAGCTCTGCTTCTTCTGACTTGGACCAATATTTTCATCTGATTTCCTCAATTAGCACTTAGAAGAGAAAGAGTTTAATTGAAATATAATACAAGGATTTTTCCAAGTGCATGAATATCCTGTAGGTTTCTGTGTGATTACCACTGTGCCAGGAGCAGGGAGGATTTCCTTCAACTTAAAAAGGTACAATTAATCTCCTGTTGCACTTCCAATTAGTCAAATTGCTAACCTTATTGTGAAAAGCAGAAATGCAATTGAGCTTCTGCTCGAGGCACTCTAAAAGAAAACTGAAGTAATTTCATTAACTGACTTCAAGTGTATTAAGAAGCACGCTGCCCTCACTTCCCCGCTGTCGATGCCCTTAAAGAGATGATTGCTTTATGTCCTTCTCTGCGCCCACGAGGGGCTGCCCCAAGCTGCAACCTCAAAGCAAACACTGCAGCTCTGCTCCTGGTGCCTACAGGCAAGAATTAACCCCAAGCACAGGCATGCTCACGCTTCCAAAGAGCCATCTCCACCTGAGCTCCCAACAAGGGCACCCAGCCATGCAAGGGCCCACCTGGGCAGCCACAGACACATTGCCCAGAGGGGGAAATAAAAGGGTCACAGCCCCCCACGTTGCCTCACCTCAAGTCACCAGAATGCAGATGGCAATGGTGCATATGGAATATGAAGAGCTTTACAGCTTAATTAAAGATGGAAAAGATGCTCAAGTGTTTATTAGATTAAAAAAAATGCTGATGTGCAATAGCACCAGGTGTTCTATGACAAGGTGAGAGGGATCATAAACTGACACTCAAAACATCAAAATTGAGCATAAATCCCGTTTTGCTTCCTTGTAAGAGCCTGAGTGCTCTGTTTATATGGTTTCTCAGTGATATCAGTTCAAACAGATAAAAAACTATGTTTTTTTTCCTGCTATTGCATGGGACTGTCCAAGGAGTGTGTAATCATGCAGGATCCAGTTTATGTTCAAAGACCTAAGTCTTCCTAACATTTAGCAACAAATGCTCAAGTGAATTACTCATAAGTAAACCAGAAGTCCACTTGGACCAGCACTAAATTACGAAGGAATTGGCATTTGAGCTTGAAAATTTACTGCTCCAATCCTAATTAAAACAGTTGGGTTACAAAGCCTCAGAGCCACATGCTGTCCTCCAGGGATGCCTCTATGCTCCACTTCCCAGGTTTGTCGTTCTGTGCTCCATTCACACACCAGCTTCAAATATTCTTTTAAAAATAAAAATAAATCAATGCAATCACAACCAAAATTTCATAAAGACAATACAAATGCCTGGAATTTTCAGTAGTTTGTGCCAAAAGATTCTATTACTACTCTCGAGGCTCCAGAGGATGAGGAAATAGGATTTCAGAACAGCTGACTTTCACTTTTAACTCAGTTGGGCTCAGCAGCAAACATGAGCCTCAAAACAGGACCTCTCAGATCAACCCTGCAAACATTGCTGCCCATAGAAAGGCTCCTTTCTACATTCTGGTCACACAAAGCCATTGAGTTTGCTTGCTGTGGATTAAACTGAGCATGCTGGCAGCAAGTGTAATCTTTACTCAGCTTAATCTGCATCGAGGAATAGATCTGTTCTGAAGAATGTTTGGACAGGACCATAAGCTGTCAGGTCGGCCACTTTCCCACTGCAGGAGGGAACGGCGGATTTTGCGTATTGCATCTTGGTGGTGTTCCATGCATTTTTAGTGCAGTGACCCAACGGCCATTATCCCAACCACAGCACTGATGGATGGCTGGAAGAAATCCTGTCAGCTCTGCAAGCCTTGGGCTGGCTGTGCAATCCTAAGCATCTTCAGCACTGCTCCTTATAAACCTTGCCAACACTGCAGTGGGACGTTTGCTGGTTTCACACTGCATGCCACGCTCCAAAAGGCAACAAGAAATGCATTTGGAAAAGGTAATTTTTGCTTTCATTAAAAGAAAAATTTTAGATAGCTGTAATTACTGAATTTGTGTGTACAGTAATCACTTACAGACAGCGTGCACTAGGCTCCTACTAAGGCAGAGGCAACAAATAATGTGTTATGTTGCAGTAAAGAGTAAAACAAAGACTTCTCGCATTTCAGCAATCCCGGATACACAACAATTTAGGGAGCTATGGCTGTAACAACTCTGAACTGAGTGGTTATCAAATTAACAAGAGCTGAACAAAAATATAAATCAACTCTTTCTGTAGCGCAATTAAAATAAAAACTGATTTACTGTGTACTGTAATGCAAAGAGAAATTAAATACGGACCGTATTTTTTCTACATGACTTTCCAGTTTCTCCATAATTAAATGTTATTAAATAAATGAGGAAGTTTACGCCATTACTCAGGTATTGTTTTTACTATCAACTGTGACTCACACGTCAGACCAGCACTGCGAATTAAAAGAGATCCATCTCCCTTCCTGCCAAGGTATCACCACACCCTGCTGAATTACCCCATATTTTAAAGTGCTCGTCAGAAATCCTGAGCAGTGAGAGATGGGAGCAGGCTGAAAGGCGAAGGAAAGGGGAGAAACAGATTTATTTGATTTAGATAGAGGAGAGATTTCACTGCCAGCCGTAAATGTGTTGTTTCATGCTCTCAATGAACCTGCGGCTTTGTACTGGGAATGAGAAAGCTGAGAGGTTAATGGTGTGGAGAGCTCCTTCCCCTGCTTTCCAGGGCTGCTCTGGTTGCACTGAACTGAACAAGGAACAGGGGATGAAGTATCAATGCTAAGCAACTTGCAGTAACCTGAGCATCCCAAGAACCCACGCTCTCAGCTGTTACGATTAAGACATTCCTATAAAAGCAAAACATCACACCAGCTTTGTTTTTCCATGACAATAACGAGACAAAACTTGTTCCTTTCAAACTATCCGCCGTGAAATGAAGCCGCATTGAATACACGAGACGGAGCAACTCAGGACTTACATTGATGTCTTCCAGGTCAAGGAAGTTGAGGATGATGCCGTTGCGCTTCCAGATGATGGGCGGCCGCAGCGCCCCGCGGATGCCGCACGTCAGGATGGTGCTGAGGCCCACTGTGATGGTGGTGATGCTGACCCGCTGCTCCTCGGGCAGTGTGAGCCGGAGCACCTCTGCAAAGGAATAACACCAAATAGCACCACAGTTCCCTTTCTTCTCCATTCCAGGAATAACTTTGAAGGATTTTAGCAAGGCGTTGGGTGTAAAGACAAAAATCTCCAAGCAACAAAGCCAAGGTCCTCTCAGCTTTCCCACTGAGAGGATCAAGGAATGCTCACAGCCCACTGGCATTATAGTGCCTCAGCTGAGACAGAAACTTGGCCTGGGGAATGAGCCCCTCCCACCTCCCAAAGCCCCTCTGTCCTCATCCCACTGCATGTGGTCCCAAACAGGGACCAAAGAGATGGATGCTGCCCTGCCCCAGGCTGTGTGCTTTAAGAAAACTAAGTGCAGCATTGCTGACACTACAAAACACCGCGTGGGCTTGTGATATTCCCTTCCTTGCACCAGCTGGCAGAGCTACCCTATTCATCAGGCTCATTCTCATATATCTGCAGTGTGACCCACACAAGATCTGTGTACCACTCTTTACACTGAGAAGATTTAAAAGCCTCATGCACTTTCTTCCGCTGACTTTCAGTGACTGCAAACACCATCTTTGTCATTTCAAGTCACAGCTTAAGACGTGATATTGCCTTAAGAGTTAACAGCTTTTGTGGTAAAATCCTCTTCACCTGGCCTCCACTACAGAAGCGTACTCAATAAAACCCAACACCTACTTCTTCAAGGAACATTCTCCATCTCTTCATACTCTCTGCATGAAAAACTGCTATTAAAACTCTCAAGTAACAATTCTGGAAGATCTGTTCATTAAAATATTTGATGTCTTCCCCAATCTGGGCAGCCGACAGGACTGACTTTAGGGCTCCATCTGATGACTGTGAGCCCCTCGTGCAGAACCCACTTGTGAAGCCATGCTGAGCAGCTCTGCATCCCTCCACCCAAGCGAGAAGTCAATGCAGTGTGCCACAAACCATATTCACTACTGGAGGCCCAAGGCTGATTTTGGGTTGCAAAGATCAGTACATTGCATGCCATGTCTGCCAGCCATGAGCTGTTCTCCCACTTAATATTCTCAGCACTGCTTAGAAACACCATGAGTTAAAATAAACAGCTGTCAATCTATCAATCAAAAATTAGGAAAGTCTGACCAACATCATGCTACTACTCGGGGTGCAGTCACTCCCATAGAGCAGACACAAGAAGATCTGGCCATCAAACTTTTATGCCCCTGAAATCTTAAAGTCCAGATGGAGTGACAGAGGAGGAGCAAAAAGAGGAGAACATCACCCACCCACAGTCAGGTTAGCAGCAAAGCCAGGATTGAACACCTCATTACACACCACCTCATTAAGCCACATCTCATTAGGCATCACCCTTGGGTATGTGCTGGAGGAGGAGATCTCACACTGGGGTCAGTGTAGGATGCAGTGCCCCAGCCCTGTGCTTTCACCCACCTGCATGAAGCACGTAAACCCCATTGAGGTGCTGGTAACAGTTACTTTCTGCATAAAAAAAGAGCTCTTTTTTTATTAATAAAATATTTGGAGCACACTTGACAGCATAAAGAATCGATAGTTACAATAATTTGTAGCACGGAATAGGGCTAATGAGGACCATCTCTTCTTGAGGAGAAATGAAATAAAGGGTCATTCCTTTACGAGAATTCTTTTTTCCTTCTTACAGCTGCTCTCCTCAACTCTATGTGCCATTTCTCACACTGCCCAGTTCCCGAGCTCCTGTGGTCCCTTAAGAAGGCACCTGGGAAGGCTGCCACACATCAAGGAACTGAATCAGGTCAGGATGGGACTTTTCAGGCTACAGCATGTACGTAATATAGATAGATCACTTAAATAATCACATACCTCCCTCAAATACTTCTATGGAATATATTTGAAGGCATCCTACCACGACCATACTGACTTTCAAGGGTCTTTCTATTAATAAAGGATTACGTTGTGCGGTTTTAGTCACAGCTTTCTTGGCATCGCTAGAAAAAAAAAAAATAAATGCACTTACACAACCAGGTGCCTTGGGATGGAAATAGAGATGCCCTGCAAGGAGATTAAGGTTGTGCTCCTTGGTTTGAAAACACAAATCTGCTTAGAAAAAAATCAGAATCTTGTACTTAAGTTGCAGACCTCAAACACTCTGATGCTGGTTGTACAAATTGTTCAAGTCACCATAATGATCTTGGGTGGAATCCTCTAGGTTAAGTATTGAGCTGCTCATTTTATTTTTAAAAATCTTTACGAGATAAAAGGATTTTTTTTACCACACACATAAAAACCAAACAGAAATGAATGGGGAATATTCAAAGCATGCTCACGTGCAGAACGCAGACTGGAATGGAATCTGACCCTAAAATGGGGCAATTTCAAGTTTATTGGGAAATTCTGCATGTAAGCATAGTAGCTCTGCATACATTCCATGGATTCTGCAAGTATCACTCCTAGCTTATCCTATTTATCAAGCCATGTCAAACCTTGTATTCTTCACTGATATTTCATCTGAAGCAAATTCTCAGCCTACTGCAGTGAGAGGAAAAAGTGGTTCTTGTAACCCATCTGCCACCAGTAGGATCCCCAACGCTTGTGACTCAACTTTGGGTACTTCAAGACAGCTCGGTAGCAATCAGCTTCACGAAGGAACAGATGCAACCATGTTCACCTACAGCATTTTGCCAAACTCCAAATTAAATCACAGTCACTAGGATTGGGCAGGAGGGCGGTTCAGGGAAATCCTGCTCCTCACAGCTCTTCTCTCTGCTGCTATCCCCATCCCAGAGGGGCTGTGACGCAGTGCAGACCATTGGGCCAACCACGCCGCCGTGCCGCCATTGGAATTTCTCGCAAGACGTTTGAGATGGTGAAGGCTCACTAATTCCTTTTCTTGTTAAAAGTGTCAAGGCACTGCCAAACGTTTCCCTGCACCCCTCCTCCTCTCCAATTTTATTTCTTAAGGCTCTAAAGCAGGAGTTGTGCTGCACCTTTGCACGCTCTGCATACTAATGCACGCAGGTATTACTTGTTGTGCTGTTTTATCACGGAAATCTTTCCTCTGCTGTCATTTGCAGCCCGCCAAAGGCAATCATAATTTCACAATGAAGACATGTATAATTGAGGTCATTATAGGGAGCAACCTGGAATGAGCATCTATGGAGGAAAACTCATTGATTTAGCACGGCGTAGAGATAATTTACATAGTAAATGTCGTTTCCCTGCGTGCCTTTGCTCGTGCTACACTACGCAGAAAAAGATTTCATGTTTTTTTTAAAGTGCTTCATATCATTAATTAGATCTTTTCACTTAAACCTAAAGAAAATATATTTTTAATACACTGTTACCACCTTTAATCATTGTTACATTTGTTCATGGGTATCTCATCCTGCTAAAACAGAATACGGAGCAAAGGACTTTATTGCTTAAATTATGCTGAAGGGACAAGGAAATAATTTTTTAATCTTATAACTGGCTCTTGCATAGTACACAATGTACCAAAACGTAACACTGCTGGAAGCAAGGGATGGGAGAACTCACTGCTATAGAAAGCCTCACACACAGATCCTCACCTCCCAATTAATTCACACAGACCTTTAGCTTGGGAAATGGAGCATGGGTAACAGCCCCAAACACATCGTGCTTCCCCAGCAGTTGGTCAAGTTGGGACTGATTTAATGGGACGCAAACTTTTGTCCTCACTCAGTTCCCCAAATCCTGCAGCTCTTGTTCAGGCTCTGCACTGGGTCGGTACGCCTCTATATTGCCTTGTGGCCAATACTGCAGCACAAAGGTCAAAGGTGATGTTAGCATTTGTTTCAACAGATAGAAGCCTTCTTTCTGGTTATAGTTGCAGGTGAGGACCTAACTGAATCAAGAAAGCCAAAGAAATTAGTGGGTAAGAGGATAAAATAAGATATTCCTTTTTTAATTCCTTTTTCTCCAATATTTTTGATGAAAAGTGTTTGGCTTGGTATAGAGAAGATCAATTTTAGAACCTCTTAAACCTGAGAGGATTGCAGCTAATGGATTTTAAAATGACTGTACGTGAGGTACAACAACTGACCATGAGATCTGGCCAGCCACAGAGTGACTGCCTGGGATGGGATGTGGCCACTGCAAATACTAAGGGCAGTTCAGAGTGGGTCTGAATGCGTAAAACACTGCCTAACACACTTATAAATTACTCAGATTAGCATTAGAGTATTTTCCAAACACCCTGTGATTTAGTTGCTACCCTACTCTGTGGAGCAAATAAATGAATTAATAAAACCAATGCCACACAAATCACCCCAGGTCTGCGTGCTCATGCAAAGCTGTCACAGCGCTGCCTCCAGGACCAGCTCCAGAAGAAATGTTGCCATGTTAACACAGTTTGCTGGAGATTGAGGCTCGACAAGCCCATCCTCTCCAGCAATATTTACATCCCCTCACCTGTCTGCTGGCGGTGATGGATTATCCATCACTCAACCCAAGATGAAAACTCCATTTTCCAAACACCAACCTTGAATTACGGGAGAGCAAAGAATGTTTGCATTATTAATTAACTGCATTAGAGCTGTTAATGAACTCGATGCAGGTTGTTCACAATTAATTAACCTGGAGAGTTCCAACAGCTCCCACCTGGGATCAGAGCAGGGGAGGGGATCGGGCTTCTGGCCTCACAACCTGCAAAGAACATCAGCAGCCTTCCATGGGATGCTCAGAGAGTTTGGCTTCCCAGGAAAAGAGCGACCACAACGCAGCCTTCCTCCAAGGCTTAGAGGTTTAATTAATGTGAACAATAAAATGATTTCTAATGCTAAGTAGAAATGCTCATACCTCAGCTGTATTTTGTAGCTCTAATAATTCAAGTTCTTAATGTAATTTATAAATCCTCGGGACCTTGGGCATGCTACTTCAGGAAGTATCTTATTGTAAATTCTCCACTAAATTAGTAATGCTGTTTTCTAAGTCATAAAAAGGCATAATTATGCTTCTAGCAGTATGAGAGAATTCAGCACTTCAAGCCCTCTTCTGTCATTACTCACAAAGGCCATGGGTGAGGGCTCCTC